TATATATACAGTTGGTACATAAAACAGACAGAACATTTAATTGGATTCTCACATCATCATTGTAAAGCCAACCCGATCAATGTAAAAGCAGTCATTAATTGTCATTTGTGTAACAAATGAAAGAACATATCAGAGAAGTTAGATTATGACACACAGGTAGAACATTATGAAGCACATAATGGAACATATGTAAAACACTACAGTATACCACAAGCTCACACTAATTTTAAATTGTTTTCTGCAGTATTCTGATTTGTTTTAATTCATTTGAACATAAAATTAACAACAGTACTTGACTATATGGATAATATTTGATGCTATGTTTAAAATTATATTTTTAAAATGTTCTCCTTTAATAACCATTTGTTATTCTTACTATACTCATACAAAATGCTGTACCTTGAAAAAGACATAAATAGGAATGTCTGTAATGAACTGTTTTATTCTGAAGTTTTAGTCATTTATAAACTTATTACAATTACTCTTCTCCAGTTTTCATTGCTTCATATAAAACTAATACTAGAGAATTTTCAGCAAAAAAAACTTTAGAAACAATTATCTTTTAATTTCATGATAACCAAATATGACTGAATCACAACTTGTGTTAACCATTGCTTCAGTGATAGTTACTTACAGCAGGTACAGCTTTGAATAGACAACTAGTTGGTGAAACTTGAAAGTGCAATTAAAAGTCCCACATAAGATTTATAATTAGATTGTCCATTCAGTTCCTTCTTCAACTACCATATATAATTTCATATAGAATACTACATATACTCTTATTTCTCCAATGTTTTACTTTGCATTCTTGTCAAAGAAATAATCATATATCACAATCGTTATACTGTACCGCCTTTTGTTTCATTGGAGCACAAAATATCTCGCAGTTCATATGTATGTACTTTATATTTGATAGCAGCATTATATCCTGATGGAGCCAAACATTGGCCTATTTGTTAAATCAAAATCTGTCATGATCTCTTAAAAGTTGTTGACTTAAGATCTCTTGATGTTTGTAGGCATTTTAGTGAATAAATTGTAGTTCACAACATGAGCTCCTGTCGTAATTCCTTGCATCTTGCACAATACGCTCATGATAAATTTTCACATTCATATATAATCAGGAATAACATTCATATTGGTGAAATGACTCTCATCACATTACAAATGCTCAACAATTTGTCCAGATCCTAATACTGATGAGATTTATACCAAACAGAATAGGTATAATGTATGGTTACAGTGTTCCAACCACAGTTTCAATAGCCCATGATCTCTGCTGTTTCAAATGTATGTACCTCACAATGTCATGTTTCTTTGTTCATACACCTCTTTTAATTTATCTATACTGTTTGTGTTTGTATTTACATTCTTCAAGTTCCCTTGCAGAAAAGGCTGCATAAGACACATCAAATGTGTGAGGGAACTCTGATACTTCTAGTAGGAAATTGATGTATATACTATATTTTGTTTGTAAAACATACTAATTTTGTTTTTAAAGAGCTTTTTTATAGCTTTTAGTGTAATAAGCAAAAAAAAAATTTATATTGAAAATTATGAGCCTTATTTTGGTTGGTATCATACATGTAGGTTATCGAAATGATAAAGCAGCAAAGATAGCTTTAAAAACTGTGAAAGACTGGCTGAAAACAAAGGACAATGCTTTTAAAGTAAGTTACTTAATATTATGAAATAAACTAAATCTTAGATATGTCTTCTTTGAAACTACAGTAACTCTAAACATAAAGTACTAATTATATTTCATGAAAGTAAAACGTTAATGCTTTTTGGATGAAATAAATGCAGTTCTGACTGATGAGAATTTTTTTTTTGGAAGAATTGTAAAAATATATAAATATCCTCTGAAAATATATGTTAGTGGTATTTTTATTTGCTAAAAATGTAACAATTTTGAAGTCATCTTAGTCAGAGCATTGCAATGTATATTTAAGGTAAACTTACATCTTAATTATGTTCATTAGTTCTGGTACTAAATGCATGTTTGCAAACACACACACCATCATTTCACTCCCCCCCCCTCCTTCTGGCATACCTTTTCCATTAAGTTGAGGCTTGGGAGTTCTGTATTGCAAGGAGCTGGACTGACTGATGGGTACTGTGGTTGGCTGGGGTACCCCAAGCATACCACCTGTGGGTTGTAACTTCTAAGTGAACCACCACATGAGCAGTTCCCTGCCTACCATCACTCAGATGCTAGTTTCCTGAGTGGCTGGTGTTGGTTGATGATTTGCATACATGTGCCCTGTCTAGACAGATGGAACGGAATATTCTTCCTTCTGTCTCACAGGCTTGAGGTGAAATGGTAGGGACCTTCCTACTACCGCAAACCAGAAGATAACTACCCGATGCTGCCTGATTTTGGACTGGAGTTGACCCACCGAGTACAGTTTGCCATGCCCTATCCATTCTACACAATGGGGCACATCCATTTAGTTTTCCCCAACATTGCTCATCTTTGGTTGGGAACCCTCCATCCTACTATCTCCTTGATATTGGTTCCTGGGAGTTCAGTTTTGGTGTTGAGCTGGACCAACCAATGTGTATGTAGTCTTGGATGTGCCACAATTATTTTCTCATCAATTCTGCAACCCTTACTACCCCATTGGGCAAAGAGTATACCTGGTACAGATGTGGTGTAGTCTCCCACAGTTGTGTTCCTTTCTCAAGAGAGGTCACACTCTGTGGACATTCTTTGAATGTTTTCCAAAGGGTGCTCCTCAAGGTATTTTTTGCACCAACCCCTCCACTTTTACAATGTAGGATTCTAGCTATTATGTGAGAGGAGATAAGATACCATATTGGAAGTTAATATTTTCTTCTATTGAAAACATATTTTTGATACTTACTTACTTCCCACCCTTTCTCCCCACTTCTGGTGCTTCTTTTGTGCCTAATCTTGAAGTGAATGTTAGGCTGAATAGTATAGAGGGAGTAACCTGCATTAGGAGTGTAATGTCATTATATATTTATTCTAATATCGACATTGTTTAGATTAAGTTTATATTTAAAAACATGCGTAGCTTATAGTGTTAAATACGTATTGCAAAACTCCCGCCTATTCTCCAAAGTTGTAGACCATTCTCGAGAGTAGGAATCAACAATATATCTATATACGTAAACGTTTAAATATAGCTCAGTATTGTTAAGTAATGTGAATTTTCTAGAAAACCTTCGCACGCCTATAAATACAACCAACGTGATGCGTCAAAAGGAGAGTATTTATTAGTAATTCGCTATAATCAGTGTGCTATAAACTTTGAAAGCTATAACTGTTATAATGCTTATCAACAGGAAAACTTAAGATATTTGACCAGGAATATTTATAAATTTTGAACGTTACAAATCGTTTAACTTCAGTGGATTCTCATTGAACATTAGTATTTTTACGAAACATATAAATTCATCATGGAAAACCTAGTGTGTGTGGCCAAGGACAAAGCTAGCTAGGTTCCTGGCGAATCATATCTATATCAACTCGTAATTAACTTGCTCATCGTAAACCCTCAATAAGATATCAAGGGAGTTCCAAACTAGAAAGAAGACTTTATATTGTTTGTAAGTTTGTGAAACTTTTTTTTATAAATCTTTGTTTGTAATAACTAGTTGTAATAATTGTTACTGTAAAGTGTACACTGAGTGGTCACAAGTAAATAGACACCTAATTTTTTATCATAAGCCCTCATATACACATTGCTCTTTTTTTTTTGTCTCTTGTTGAATCATGCTTCACTTCTTCAAAATGTTGCACTAACACTTCATAGTTTTTCCAAACAGATGAAACTGAGTGAAAACTAGATGCCACCCATTGAGTGCTTAAAATGTTTCCAATTTTTAAAAGCTGAAGCTCCAGCAAGTTTGTATACACTTTCAGTTCTCTGCTATTTTTAGGTGACTTGTGATACAAAACATAAAGTATATCAATAAACGCTTTAAATCTGTTGATCCCTGAGACTGATTTTACAGTGTCACCGACAGACAGTTCTAATTTGTGATTAGCACAGTGCCACACAATTACAGAAAGAAATTTGTCTTTCATCAGTTTCTTAACTCCACTTTTACTCCCAAACATCATGGCTGCACTATCACATGCCACACAAAGGAAATTACTTTTCAGGTAGTCTTCATTCATTTCGTAAGACTGAAGACAATCGAGTAAAGAATAAAAAGATTATTTTTCAGTAACATTTTAAGTTTGATCAAGTCTAAAAATAAATTTACCAGTGAGTTCATTCCATTATCCAGGATACAGATTTGAACATACACTATTAAGGTAAATTTTTTTACTCAAAGAAGTTGACTCGTCGATTATCAGTGAAATTCTACTTTTAAGTTAGTAACTATATTAATTAGTATATTTTTTGGTTTCATCACTAATGTGATTCACGATGTTAATACATGCATTCGTTGAGTGAAGGATATGGCCCATATCAATTCCATTT